GCTAATTCACCCATCAGGATGAACAATGCGCTCAGTAGCCGTGACTTAAACCAACTTGTGTAAATTAGCGAAGCGAATCGAATGTAATGTGAGGTTACATAACTTTTCTCCGGGTCCTAACCACAGTTTTAATTAAAGGGTTATATCAGGGGTTCAGCATTGAGGGTATGTTGTTTTTGGAACGTGTGTGTGTGTGTGTGTGTGTGTGTGTGTGTGTTGCCAACTTGATAATGTCCTAAAGAAATTCTGATGTGTTGGGGAAATAGTTATATCTTGCCAACATTGCTAAATTATTGTACACGTGTAAGTTTATGTGGTGAAGGTTGACAGGACACACAAATTTACCTCCAACAAGTGATAATAAACGTCTCCACCCTCACCCCCACCACACAAGTTACAAAAACCTTAGCGGGTCAACTTGGAACCTATAATATGACTCCTTCACTACAACGTATTGTGAAAAAATGGGACCCATAGGCATGACAGTGTAGATACAGCATACTGTATACTAAGCTTTAGGTACACACGGAGGCAGCATAGCCGGTACTGCACTCGACCGCCTTCAATTCCCCAAGTTGTAAACTTAGGTACCCATTTACAGCTGGGATATTGGAAGCGCCCGGGAATCGAACCACCGACCCTTGGAATAGGAGGCGAGCGCTCTGAGTAGTTTAGTGGTGGCTTCCAGTGTAATGTGTGTATGTATGTGTCCTGGGAAAGTGGAATTATGCGGGTGTGTATGTGTGTGTTTCCGGGGCGTGGCAGGCGCAGGCAAGCTGGGGGCACCCGTATAAACACACGGTCTTCCCGACAACACTCAGAACTCAGCTGACGAACACCACAAGCACCTCCCTGCCTCCCTCCCTCCCCATACAGTAGATGCGGGTTCTTCCTGGGGGAAACACTGAGGGGCTATTATTGGATGGCATAATTATTTGGGGGTTTGAGGGGGACTGTTGTTCACACACGTGTTCTCGGCCGCACCAGCAGAGTACCCCGACCAGGATTCTAACTGTGCTGGAGTTATCACCTATTAGCCGTAACTGAGGGAAAGACGTATTATTTTTTTTATAATGCTATCATCCCAGCAATTACAGGTACAGGTACTTCATTTCCTTGTGTCTGGATCGATCATTTAATTTTATTTTCGTCTAGGACCCGACTGGATATACTAGGCTGTGTATCGTCAAACATATTACGGCTCCCAGTCCCCTTATGCAATAATAAAGAGGAATATTTTCAACACGACACAATAAGATAAATACTAAAATAAAATATTCTGATTTTTTTTTTTTTTACGTTTTTGCTAACGTGAACGATGTCATAGGTCAAATAACGCCACAAAATCAATTTATTAATCCCGGGCATTAGGAACCTTGAGTGCAGAGACAGGTTAAAGCATCTTAATTTGCACTCCCTCGAGACATTTCGAGTGAGGGGCGATATGATAGAGGTGTATATATGGAAGTCAGGGCTAAACAAAGGGGATATAATAAAGGTACTCAAACTATCCAACCAGAAGCGAACTCGTAACAATGGTTTTAAATTAGAGAAACTTAGATTTAAGCACGAAATAAACATTGGTTTGGAAACAGAGTAGTGGATGAAGGGAACAAGTTACCAAACATCATCATTAACTCGAATACGCTGGATATCTTCAAACATAGGTTGGATGGATATATGAGCAATAGGGGTTGGGTGTAAATGAGACAGCCCAGTATGGGCCAATAGGCCCGCTGCAGTTTCCTCCATTCTTATGTTCTTAACAGTACTCAAAGGTTATGACAAGTCCCACTGAGAGAAGAGATGTGTTATTTATTAGACAGGTTCAGGAGGACGGCGTCGGGCCAAGTCTTCACACATTATATACTCAGGCGTATTGGTGCTATTATATATACTTATGGTTAGTGGTGCTACTGTGTATACTTATGGTTAGTGGTGCTACTGTGTATACTTATGGTTAGTGGTGCTACTGTGTATACTTATGGTTAGTGGTGCTATTATGTATACTTATGGTTAGTGGTGCTACTGTGTATACTTATGGTTAGTGGTGCTATTATATATACTTATGGTTAGTGGTGCTACTGTGTATACTTATGGTTAGTGGTGCTACTGTGTATACTTATGGTTATGGTAATATGTATACTATGGTTAGTGGTGCTACTGTGTATACTTATGGTTGTGTTATTATGTATATTTATGGTTAGTGGTGCTACTGTGTACTTACTACTGTGCATACTTATGGTTAGTGGTGCCACTATAATATGGTTAGTGGTACTATTATGTATACTTATGGTTAGTGGTGCCAGTATACTTATGGTTAGTGGTGCCACTGTGTATACTTATGGTTAGGTGGTGCCACTGTGCATACTTATGGTTAGTGGTGCTATACTTATGGTTAGTATTACTTATGGTTAGTGGTGCTACTGTATACTTATGGTTAGTGGTGCTGTGTATACTTATACTGTGGGTTAGTGGTGTTACTGTGTATACTTATGGTTAGTGGTGCTACTGTGTATACTTATGGTTAGTGGTGTTACTGTGTATACTTATGGTTAGTGGTGTTACTGTGTATACTTATGGTTAGTGGTGCTACTGTGTATACTTATGGTTAGTGGTGCTATTATGTATACTTATGGTTAGTGGTGCTATTATGTATACTTATGGTTAGTGGTGCTATTATGTATACTTATGGTTAGTGGTGCTATTATGTATACTTATGGTTAGTGGTGCTATTATGTATACTTATGGTTAGTGGTGCTATTATGTATACTTATGGTTAGTGGTGTTACTGTGTATACTTATGGTTAGTGGTGCTACTGTGTATACTTATGGTTAGTGGTGTACTGTGTATACTTATGGTTAGTGGTGCTACTGTGTATACTTATGGTTAGTGGTGCTACTGTGTATACTTATGGTTAGCTGTATACTTATGGTTAGTGGTGCTATTATGTATACTTATGGTTAGTGGTGCTATTATGTATACTTATGGTTAGTGGTGCTACTGTGTATACTTATGGTTAGTGGTGCTACTGTGTATACTTATGGTTAGTGGTGCTATTATGTATACTTATGGTTAGTGGTGCTACTGTGTATACTTATGGTTAGTGGTGCTATTATGTATACTTATTAGTGGTGCTATTATGTATACTTATGGTTAGTGGTGTTACTGTGTATACTTATGGTTAGTGGTGCTACTGTGTATACTTATGGTTAGTGGTGTTACTGTGTATACTTATGGTTAGTGGTGCTACTGTGTATACTTATGGTTAGTGGTGCTACTGTGTATACTTATGATTAGAGGTGCTACTGTGTATACTTATGGTTAGTGGTGCTATTATGTATACTTATGGTTAGTGGTGCTATTATGTATACTTATGGTTAGTGGTGTTACTGTGTATACTTTTGGTTAGTGGTGCTATTATGTATACTTATGGTTAGTGGTGCTATTGTGTATACTTATGGTTAGTGGTGCTATTATGTATACTTATGGTTAGTGGTGCTATTATGTATACTTATGGTTAGTGGTGCTACTGTGTATACTTATGGTTAGTGGTGCTACTGTGTATACTTATGGTTAGTGGTGCTATTATGTATACTTATGGTTAGTGGTGCTATTATGTATACTTATGGTTAGTGGTGCTATTATGTATACTTATGGTTAGTGGTGCTATTATGTATACTTAAGGTTAGTGGTGCTATTATGTATACTTATGGTTAGTGGTGTTACTGTGTATACTTATGGTTAGTGGTGCTACTGTGTATACTTATGGTTAGTGGTGTTACTGTGTATACTTATGGTTAGTGGTGCTACTGTGTATACTTATGGTTAGTGGTGCTACTGTGTATACTTATGATTAGAGGTGCTACTGTGTATACTTATGGTTAGTGGTGCTATTATGTATACTTATGGTTAGTGGTGCTATTATGTATACTTATGGTTAGTGGTGCTACTGTGTATACTTATGATTAGAGGTGCTACTGTGTATACTTATGGTTAGTGGTGCTACTGTGTATACTTATGGTTAGTGGTGCTACTGTGTATACTTATGGTTAGTGGTGCTACTGTGTATACTTATGGTGAGTGGTGCTACTGTGTATACTTATGGTTAGTGGTGCTACTGTGTATACTTATGGTTAGTGGTGCTACTGTGTATACTTATGGTTAGTGGTGCTATTATGTATACTTATGGTTAGTGGTGCTACTGTGTATACTTATGGTTAGTGGTGCTACTGTGTATACTTATGTTAGAGGTGCTACTGTGTATACTTATGGTTAGTGGTACTTTCATACTTATGGTTAGTGGTGCTACTGTGCATACTTATGGTTAGTGGTGCTACTGTGTATACTTATGGTTAGTGGTGCTACTGTGTATACTTATGGTTAGTGGTGCTATACTTATGGTTAGTGGTGTTACTGTGTATACTTTTGGTTAGTGGTGCTGTGTATACTTATGGTTAGTGGTACTGTGTATACTTATGGTTAGTGGTGCTATTATGTATACTTATGGTTAGTGGTGCTACTGTGTATACTTATGGTTAGTGGTGCTATTATGTATACTTATGGTTAGTGGTGCTACTGTGTATACTTATGGTTAGTGGTGCTACTGTGTATACTTATGGTTAGTGGTGCTACTGTGTATACTTATGGTTAGTGGTGCTATTATGTATACTTATGGTTAGTGGTGCTACTGTGTATACTTATGGTTAGTGGTGCTATTATGTATACTTATGGTTAGTGGTGCTACTGTGTATACTTATGGTTAGTGGTGCTATTATGTATACTTATGGTTAGTGGTGCTACTGTGTATACTTATGGTTAGTGGTGCTATTATGTATACTTATGGTTAGTGGTGCTATTATGTATACTTATGGTTAGTGGTGTTACTTTGTACAGTCAGTGGTACTACTACATTATCCATGGCTAGCGTCGATTATTCTAATTATTCTTCCTGTTTCTTTTCGTTTACCTGTTCACACATTTTATTCATCCCCTCCAGGTATGCAGTGGCGTTGTTGCGCCGCTCCACACAGCACCTCTAGCGAGCACAGCCACACACGCCAGTGAAACAGGTTTGATGTCTCGTCGAGGACAGCCGGATGCAGCAACGAGGACAGGCGGGTGCGAGGTGGACGTCGCTGAGGCGCGAAAACACGGTGTTGAGACGTGGGCAGGGCAGGCTGTTGTGAGGTGGGGCTGTGAGGCTGGACCTGTGAGGCAGGGCTGTGAGGCAGGACCTGTAAGGCTGGACCTGTAAGGTGAGGCTGTGAAGCAGAACATGACCCCACTGAACCTGCCATGACCACCGCTCTCTCACTCAGCAGGTCTGATAACTCACCGTGATTGCAGCCCGAGAAGAAAACCTCAAAATTCATTAAGGAACACAGAAAACATATAACTACTCACTACAGGGTTAAGCTGAGCCCATCCTCCACTACTGAAGATGCTGACACAGTTTGAGCTCCTGAATGCCTCTGACGGCCTCGGGGGAGATGATGACAGCGGGATGTCCGTTTCGCCATTAGATGGTCTGGCAGAGTACCCAATGGAGCAGGCGGAGTTCGAGTACTTTGAGAACAGCTTACCCACAGACTCCTTCTACGACACGGCGCAGTCTCAGGAGCTCCACCAGACGCTGCCTCCACCGCCTACGGGGACTTCTGTAGGATTATTTGCCAATCCAGTGTACGACCCGACTTCCTACGATGGGACTACCATCATCTACGACCAAGATGACATGGTGTCACCCTTCACCACCGAGGTCACGGCCTTCAGTGATGATCTCAAGCCTCCACAAGGCATCTCCCCTTACAAGGAGGAGATGAAGGTGGGCGAAGAAGACCTGAAATTCAATGAAGACATGTCAAGTTATGATGGGTTTTCCGGGAGCATATACCAGAGCAGCGTGGGCACATCACACACCCACGCTGATAATCTGGGCTTCAGTAACCTGTGTGATGCCTTCGACAACGAGCCTCACGTGGGCCCCAGGGAGAAGACGATTCCAAAGGCCTGGGAAGAAGGTGAGGACTGTTGTGTTAGTAACCCACCACTAAGCCTCTACCACTGTTAGGTATAAACCTGTTGTTTATTGTTAGGTGTGTTGTGGTAGGAGATACCTGTCCCTGTGTAAGTGAAAAAAACTTGTTGTGGTGGCAGGACAACTTATTTTAGGGATGAGATAAGATTGTTGGTTTAATAGGATCAAGGGAACAGACAGGGGTACAACAACCACATGTTTATTAAGAAGACAATTTTCACGATGTTTGTTATAGTCACAGATACATCATCTCTTAGATCATGAAATATAATATGTCACTACCAGTAAATTGCTCAAACATCTAGTCATTATTTTGCATATCTTTATGAATAACGTGAATTAACTTTTAGACATTCTTGTGCAGTAATGTTGAGGTCGGGTGTGTTATTCGTCCCTTACTTTTTATAACCCTGAAATTACATTTCCACATATGACTTGTATTTGAATATTTCTATAGATATGTAAGTCTTGGTTATATGAGTGATGAATATGTTAGGAAAATATATATCTGTATGTTTGCACTTGTTCATCTAAACTTGTTATATAGAAACATGACATATAATACAAGAGTAGAATATGGAGATGATTAAGCCCTTTCATGTTTGTTCTTATCCAGTAAATATTACAGGCTCTGGTAAAGGTAAGATCGGTCCACTACAGAGACGAGCCCTAGACTCCATCTTTAGTGTGACTGAGAAGCCGTCGCGAGGGTTGGTGCTACACATCGCGTCCGAGCTGGGCCTCCATCACCTCACTGTCAAGAATTTCTTCTCAAATGGGAGAAGAAGGCTACGGCGAGCAGCAGCGAGACTGAGCGATCCAGAACGTACAAAGAGGGAAAATGAGCGCAGGAAGGAGAAGAGACGTCTGACCGCCCTCGCCTCTGCTCTCTCAGCTGGTGAAGGCAAGGTCGGAGCGGCCGTCACCAGCACTGTCAAGGTAATGTCGCCACAAACCCCGCCTGCCGACTCCCCACCTCCCAAAGAAACTCCAGTTGTATCACCTGAAAGAAAAGCTCTCATGGAGAAGCTGGCAGACAAGGTACAGAGGAGCGTGGCCCAGCGCTCCCTGGCCGCTGACCTCGACCTCTTGGTACCCACTTCATCACAGACTCTACTAACTCACAGCTCACAGACCTTCCTCTCACAACCCAATGACATCTTGGCTCATCCCCCAAATGATATCTTGTCGCAGGCCTCACACGACATTCTTTCACAGTCCACTCATGATCTACTCGCCCAATCACCTCACGATTTCTTGAACCAACCCACTCAGGATCTAACAGACAGCAGTTCGACTTCCCCGGCATTCCTGCAGTCACACACAGACCCGTGGAACTTATTTTGATATCTTACAAGGCTCTACCTTAAAAGCACAAATCCACATACCCAACTAAATCCTCAAGCCCCACGTTTCTTTGAACCTCTTTTCCATTGGACGCCAGGTACAAACCTCTGTATTACCACAACATAACGCCTCTCCTGCCATACTGACCCCTATCCACCTCAACTAATCCTGACAGTCACTCAATCTTTTTTCTAAATCTTCAGCATTTTATTTTAATTCCGAGCCTCTTAAGTCTTCCCCGCAGAAACAAGAACTTCCTCTATGTGCCTTACCACAACCTCGCGTCGTATTGCCATGTGTGTCGCCTGATGGGAGTGTTATACTTCAAGTGAGATGCTCCCGGCCTATGGGGGTCCTCTGACAACCCATTATGCTCCAGCATCCCGCCAGTCCCATCATCTGTCATCCACTTTACATAGGTCATATACACGAAACTTTTGAGTCATTCGGCCTGGCGGCTGAGGTGACTACACGAAGCTTCGAATCAATGGGTCTGGTGACTAAGGTGATTAAGCGAGTCTTTGAGTCAGTAGGTCTGGCGACTCAGGTGATATTGTTTAGCTAGTCAGTAAAATATGTTAAGAATTATTTATGGATAGACTCAGAGTGAGAGCCTGCGTATCCTGGTATCTAGGATCCACGCCTAGTGGCTATGTGACCTTGTCTTAACTAAGTCAAAACAGACAACTTAATTGTTCCAAAACTTGGATTATTTTATCACAATTGTAACAAACTGATACAATGTTAATAAAAATCTGAACAATGATAAACACAACTTTGTTTTATTAAGCTGTATTATGTGTGCAGTTAAAATCAAAATTTGTAAAGTTTTAAATTTGGGGGTTAAACTTCAAGACACCTGTTTAATATCTATGTGCACACAGAACATATCAAGAAAAAGTGGCGCAGGGAGAGATCAGACAAGTGCCACCTCAACTCTATTCCCCTAAGATTGAGGATATAATTATGAAGCAAATGTTTTGAACTGCAGTGACGGAGTTTCTTACTGCATTCTAGAGTAAATTTTATACACTCAACTTTTCTATATTAAAGATCATGAATTCTAGTCTGTCTCTTGTTATTTTGTTACAGGATTACGGTTCACTACAAATATATATACAGTATCTTGGGACTGGATGTAACGTGAACTATGTAAGGGATGCTTTTCTACATCCTGCTGTTCAGTTTGATCAAGTCATTGAGAGACAATTGAACAAGCTAAAAAGAAATCCCATTGAAACAAAATATTCACTTCAAGGCAGAAACAACAAGGGAAGAGGAAACTTTTCGTTAACTAGCTACTTAACAATGAAGGGTAGAGAAGGTGATTACACCCGGTTGGTGCAGCAATCAGGAAGGTCACAGTGCATAAGACGACCACTGCTAAAATAATACCAAGATGCCACATTCATCGTAACATGAATATAGTATCACTGGTAATACTACGAATAGGACCGCTAAATTTATTTTAAACAAATAATTGTTATTAGCGTAGATGGCCCGAAGCTGGCAGGACCTTCCTTGATAATCCTAGAGTAATTTTCATAAGATAAAGATTGATTTTGTTAGCTAATACACCTGAAAGTTATAATATATTATGGTCCTGTTCTATTTATTTTTCAGCATTAAATAATAATAATAATAATCAGTCCAATTCTCATACAAGTTTACTGTACTGTACTATACTGCAATGTACTGTTCTGTAAATAGATTCTATATGATAGACACTACACATGTACAGGTCAGCATTTGTGTAGACAATGCAAGTGTACGGTGTAAAGTCGGGGTCAAGAGTTCTCTCCCTCCCAGAATGAAGCAGTATCGACCCCACTCTAAATAAAACAGTACACCTGCACCTGATGACAGTCAAGGTAAGTCAGTTCGAAGACTTATTTATTTCCGTGACTCAGTTTCACCACGAGGAGCGAACTTTTGTCCACGACAGTACATAGACCGTAGTGGTATACAATTTCTTATATGTACCTAAATAGTGCAGATGTACAACGATAGTAAACAGTGAGGCAATTAGACCAAGAACTGCCGACGAAATCATCAGCTGCTTATTTCTAGTTGGGTCCTTTTTGTTTACAGGTGACATAACAACATAAGAATGGAGGAAACTGCAGCGGGCCTCTTGGCCCATACTGGGCAGTCCCGTTTACACCCAACCCATATCGCTCATATATACATCCAACCTATGTTTGAAGCTATCCAGCGTATTCGAGTTAATAATGATGTTTGGTAACTTGTTCCAATCATCCACTACTCTATTTCCAAACCACTGCTTATCTATCTCTCGCCTGAATCTAAATTTGTCTAATTTAAGCTTCAGTGAGCTTCAGCTAATGTACACAGTTGATAGGACCTTTAACTTCCTCAGATATTTCTTAGTTATAAGTAAAGTCTATCACTTGATTGCGAGGATGTCATATTGTCGTCGTACCCTTAAGCATGATTACACCCCGACTTTGTATATTAATCATCTGATGTTTCCTTCATCTACAGTATAGGTGGGTGGATGATAACCAGGAGAGGCTCAACATATAATTCATCTTTTTTAATTGTTGTGATCTTCAAACATCAACTTACACTCTGTCAACTATTACTCATAGGTCCTTCACCCTGTCTGCCATCTTTAATTCATGTCGTTATGTTCATCCATCTTGAAATATGTACTGCGCCCCCGTACAGCCAAGTAGTCATTAACTTTATATCTATTACGTACAAGACACTGTTGCCACCGTGTGTGAAGCTCTTTGTGGAGGTTGTCTATCTACCTGGAGTTGTTCTTGATTATTTCATACTGAATTTGTCTGAACTTAAGCTAAGCTAACCTAGCGTAGCCTAATCTAATTTAGCATAGCCTACACTTCCTAGCCTAACCTACACTTCATAACCTAACCTGCACTTCCTAACCTAACCTAGTCTAATCTAGCCTAACCGATACTTCCTAAACTAACCCAACCTAATCAAATCTACACTTCCTAACCTGACTTGCCGGAACGTCTTGGTATCACCCTAAGACGTATACCTAAGAGAGGACTCACAGACTGGTAAGTCATTGTGAGTGATGAGGAAATTAAATTAAGTGGTGGGAATCATCTCTGCTGATCACACCTGGCGAACATCTGCCGTTCTTATGACGCCTCTTTCTTCCTTTCCTTCCCCTTTCTTTCCTACATATACTTCTTTCCTTTTTCTTCCTTATCTCTGTTTCCTTTCCTTCCTCTTTCTTTCCTACCTATACTTCTTTCCTTCTTCTTCCTTATCTCTGCTTCCTTTCCTTCTTTTTTTTCCTTTACTTTACTCCCTTCCTTCTTTGTCTCTTCTTCCTTGCCTCTGCTTCCTTTCCTTCCTCTGTCTTCCCTACCTATACTTCCTTCCTCCTTTGCCTCTCCCTGCTTCCTTACGTCTGCCTTCTTCCTTACCTCTTCCTCTTTCTTCCCTACCTACACTTCCTTCCTTATTTACCTCTTCCTCTTTCTTCTTTACCGCTTCCTTACCTCTGCCTCCTTCTTTCCTACCATCACTTCTTACTTTAGTTCTCCACCTCCTCGTTAGCTCTCTCTCTCTCTCTCTTCAATTCCCCACTTCCGCCTTCCCACCTCCCTCCTACTCCCCCCTCCCGTCCTCCTCCGGCCCCTGTCGCCACTTCCTGCAGGTGTTGTGGTGGTGGGCAGGTGATACGTCATTAAGCTGTGGCCCTGTGAGATGTTTGGTGAGAAGTCGACTATTGTGGCATTATCCGGTGAGATTATTTAGTCCAGTGGGAAAGTGTCCGTCCGGTGGGGTTTGTTTCGTCCAATAGGAAATGATGGACTGACTGATGGCAGAATATTTTGTCCCTTGACCGTATTCACAACACGGGCTGGTTGATGGTCGCTCTCTACCTTCCTTTGTTCTGCTATAATGACCGCCTTCCCCTCCCTCCCTCTCGCCTTTCCTTCCTACGCCCATCCCTCCTTCTATCCTCCCTCCACTCCTTTCTCCTTTCCTTCACCTCTCTTTCCCTTCCTCTACCCTTCCCTCCATCCCTTTCTCAGATAATCGCCTCTCCCTTCTTTCACCCATCCCTCCCGCTTTTCTTCCACCCATCCCTCCTTTCTTCTACCCTTCCTTCCCTTCCTCCACCCTCTCTCCTTTTCTCCATCCTCCTTCAAATCCCTCAGTCTCCTTCCCTTTCTCCACCCACCCCCCTTCCCTTTCTCCACCCATCCCTCCTACCCTTCCTACACCCCCCATAACCCCCTTCCCTCGCGAGATCCACCTTAACACCTGATGATAGCACCAACTTCCGCCCTTTTGTTTACATCTCATGGCAGTGTTTTTTGTTTTTGTTTTCGCGTTATCCGGATTGTCTTGTTTGTGTTTTATATTCCAAGCACTTTGTTTGTTATCTGTTTGTGTTTTATGTCAGGTACTTTGTCATATTGTTTGTGTTTTACTATAATATATTCGTCGTTGACTTAGTTTTGTGTGTGTGTGTGTGTGTGTTTCGTTTAAAGGAGTAACCCCAAGCTGGTATCACATTCTCTCAGGGTGTTGGCCGTATAGAAAAGTCTTAACTCCTTAAGTACGATGACTTAACTCCCTTGAGTTTACTGATAGGGGTAAAGTCGCCGTATTCAAGGGGTTAAGTCATTGTATTAAGGAGTTAAATCATCGTATTCAAGGGGTTAAGTCAGTGTATTAAGGAGTTAAATCATCGTATTCAAGGAGTTAAGTCAGTGTATTAAGGAGTTAAATCATCGTATTCAAGGAGTTAAGTCAGTGTATTAAGGAGTTAAACACGTCAACATTTCCAATCTGACAAACAAGAGGCGTCGTAGTGACGATGGAGATAATTAAACTTAAAAAAAAGAACAGAAAATCCAAATAAAGAAGCCTGAATATTTTCCACAATAAAGCAACACACACACATACATACACATTAATACACGCAAATATATATATATATATATATATATATATATATATATATATATATATATATATATATATATATATATATACGCAAGAATACGCTCCAAAATACGCATACAAGACCATAAGAATGGAGGAAACTGCAGCGAGCCTGTAGTGGATTTCTCCCCTACAAACGCTGTTTGTCGCTGAGTAGCCGATCCCACCAATTCCCCAGTGTATGCCTCGTGGTCTAGGACAACCAGCGCCGCCATACATTACGGAGCGGGGGTCAACTACTAAGCCACGCCTACCCCCGCTATTTAAGACCTGACCTCGTAGTGACCTGTCTCTTTCTACCTACACCAACCAGCCAGCAACACCTCCTCCTCCTCCGCCTGCCTGGCGGTCCTCGCTCCCGCCGGCGAGCATGGCGACCCACAAGCTGGTCCTCCTGTGAGCATCCTCACCAACCAGCTCTCTCCCTACATCACGCTTGTAACTATGCTGCCTTCCCAGCACCAAGCTGCATTGTACATCCAATACAACATGTATATAGAGAGCACATTGTGAGTTTCCTTTCTCCATCCCATCCTGAGTGTGAACACAAACATCTCATAACCCCACAAGCCTATTGGCCCTTACTGGGCAGTCCCGTTTACACCCAACCCCTATTGCCCATATATCCATCCAACCTATGTTTGAAGCTATCCAGCGTGTTCGAGTTTATGATGATGTTTGGTAACTTGTTCCACTCATCCACTACTCTATTTCCATTCCAGTATTTACCTATCTCGCGCCTAAATCTATTTTTTTCTAATTTAAAACCATTGCTACTAGTTTGTTCCTGGTTGGATAGTTTAAGTACCT